GATTATGGGGGTTTAGCTCTACCAAGTCTTACAGAATACTATTATGGTGCACAATAAAGATATACACTATGTTGGTATTCCCCAGAGTAGAAAGCCAAATGGAAACAAATAGAGTTGAACTTGACACAAATTCAACCACAAGTCATGCTTGGTGGAAAGAAAGAATATGCAAAATAACAGAACCTCATATTAGAAGAAACACCTAGAATGTGGTATGAAGTTCTGTTAAAAGTATAAATCAGAAGGAGATAGTAAGCTTTTGTTGTAGCCTTCCAGCCATCCAGTTCAAACCCAGTGAAATAGACACTTCCTTTACAGAGTGGACTGGAAGAGGAATAACAGCTATCTGCACACTTGAAGAAGGCAAGACTTTTAAAATGTTTGGAAAACTCAAATGGGAATTTGACTTGGACAATGGTGGCTTATTCAGATATCTACAACTAAGACACTTTTATGATACGAAGATTCAGAAAGAAATATCTCCAAAAGGAAATGAGGTGATCGAGTTATTTACAGGTGCATACAAAAAAAAAAAAAAAAAATCTAAATTGAAATAACGCATTTTATGTTAAGTAAAAATGAATGTGAAACTGTCAAAGAGTGACGAGCTTTCCATGTCCAAGCCTCAACGGTCATCCATAAGCTCCAAGAGGTTGGAGAGAATATGGTTGGAACATTAATGTTTTTTTTTGTAACATCTCAATTACAAAATAAATTATTCCATACACAGAAGCAACGCTGGAGGCAGTGTGGTCAAGAGAATGTCTATCACTCTCATATATTTTGGCAATGTACAAAAATACAAACCTACTGGGAACAGGTTGTTCGGGTATTGGAAGATATTCTAGGTTACAAGATTCCCAAGGACCCTGCATTGTATACCTGGGTTTGTTTAAGAGTTATGTGATATAAAGTGAGGGTATCTATCTCCTCAAAGTCTTAATAATAGCTGCTAGAAAGGCCATCACTAGGAAACAGTTGAACAGTGACTCTCCAAGCCTGACGTAGTGGATGTCAACGGTAGAGGAAAAACACATACTGTCTCATGTTCAAGGCTCAGTACTTTGAACAACACTGGAGAAAATGGCTTGAAAAAAGGAAAGGACCTAACTTCAGTTCGACTGAAACATCAGACAAGGTCAAATAATGAAGAGGGATGTATTGTACAAAGTAAAAAAACAAAACCAATAAAAAGCAATAAAATAAAGTAAAACAAAAATGACACTACATAATGGCTCAGGTCTTCCTGCATTTCACTGGGTTGATAGGTTAATTGCACAAGTAGTTCAGTATTATTCTTGTAAACAACATTAAAAAAGTGAAACTTCAGCAAAACAAGGAGGCTAATTGAAAGTTATTTAAAGGCTGTGAATTAAATAAGGGCTGTATATTTGCTTCAGCCGTTTTGTTATGTTGTGTTTTTTCATGTGTTTATTCTACTGAGGTCGTTATGAGAATATTCTTGGAGCAGCAGTAAAAAAAAAAAAAAAACATCATTTCATCATTCATAACTCTGGGAATAAACTTAATTAGCAGCTTCAGATAAGTTTGATGTCTACTGAGAATATTGGCTTACTTTTTTTTCCAGAACAATTGAGGATGGTATTACGAGCTGTTGTAAAGTCACTCTACCATCAGCAACAGATTTGATGGCATGCACTTGCACAAACACTTGACCAGCGCATTGGCAGGAACTTACTGCTTGTTTATGTTTCTCATGGAGATTAGCTCATGTTAATACCGTCATTTAAATAACAGACAGCAGCAGCAGCAGCTTGGTCAATGTAGACACAATCTAACTACGTATAACTACACAACAGCATGTGTTGTTGCCACGATGAGTGGGGCCAAGTTGAGATTGGCAAGCTTTTCAGTGGGACCAGATCTTTGTTCTCAAGCAAGAGTCAGATTGGGGATGGGATTTTGCTTAGGTTTGGCTGCTAGCCCAGTGGTCAGAGGAACAAATAAAACTCAAATGCATAAACATGGACTCATTGTCCTCTAGAAACATCTTGGCCTGTAGGGCTTGTAATAACAAAGAATTCAGCTGATAAAGCAACAAGACAAACAGCAGAATAAACAGAGTGGAGAGGCTCTGTGGTGGATGTAGAGTTAGAAATTGAACAACCAGGGTTGCTCGGATACCAACGCCGATCCTTAGAAATCAGGGTAGGACCAATTGAAAACCAGTTTTCTGTACATCTATACATTTTTTAAAAAGAGGGAGGAAAATGTCTATCAACTGACCTTTTTACTTTTTTACATATAGTACTGCACATGAAAAACAAAAAATGTTTCCCAATACATTAGTAGCTACTTCCGGTATAAAAAAAATCAGCGGTCAGTTCAAGTTATTTGGTCCTTACACTTGCTTTTGTCTTTTATATACAAAAGTATTTACAAGTTAGTTTTACTGGTATTTTACATTGTGATAGCAAAATGTCCTCAATGTGCCATGTTGCCTTGTTTTGGATAGACTTTAGAGCACTGCTAAAACATACAGGATCTACTTCAACAAACCTCAAATGGGCAGGAACCAATGTAGACCACAATGCATAACAAAATACTGACCATGCACATTAGTAACTGTAAAAAGTTCAATAAGTTATTTAGACTTCAATTCAGTTTATTTATATAGCGCCAAGTCACAAAAGAAGTCATCTCAGGGCACTGACTTGCATTGATGTGTTAGTCGGCTTCTAACTGGAGTTCAAAAAAGGGAGCACATCACCCCCACTCTGGCTTCACTCCACTGGCTGCCTGTTCATTTTAGAGTTCATTTTAAGATTCTTTTATTTGTTTTTAAAAGTTTAAATGGTCTTGCTCCATCCTACCTCTCTGAGCTGCTTCACCCATACTCTCCTGCTCGGTGCCTCAGATCAGCTGATCAGCTGCTCCTGGAGGTGCCGAGGTGTAAGCGGAGGCTCAGAGGGGACAGAGCTTTTTCTGTTGCTGCTCCAAGACTGTGGAATGATCTCCCTCTTCCCATCAGACAAGCTCCTTCACTGTCCAGTTTTAAAACTCTTTTAAAAACACATTTTTACTTCCTGGCTTTTAGCACACACTGAATTTGATCTGCACTGTTTTTATTACTTTTATTGATCTTAATGTTTTAACAACTGTTTTTATGTGTTTAAATGTTCTTGATTTTATATGTACAGCACTTTGTGGCAGCTGTGGTTGTTTTAAAGGGCTTTATAAATAAAGTATTATTATTATTATTATTATTATTATTATTACTAATTCTTAAGCCAGTATCCCACTTTGCTGAAACCATTGGGGAAGACTATTTGGGGAGTCAAAATTTGTGAGAAAATTGAGAAATTTTCAGTTGCAGTCTCACTGAAGTCTTAAGTGTTTGAGCTAACTGTACAAATGTGTTTTGCATCGCCAATTTTAGAAAGCTATAGCCTGTTTTTGCATGTATGACTTGCAAAAGCATATTGCTTTTACACGTTTTGCACAGCTTGCATGCATTATTTTGTTACCAAAACTTTAACATACGATTCTGGTCAAATTCCTTTGGGGTCCACCGATTTTGGACCCATCCATTCATTATATTTACCTGCTTCTTCCTTTTTGGGTCATGGGAGTCACTGGTGCCCATATCCAGCAGTCATTGTGCAAGAGGCGGGGTATCCTGTGGACAGGTCTCCAGTCCATCACAGGGACACAGAGACAAACAAGACAAACAAACTATTCACACTCTGACTCACACCTAGAGACAATTTAGAATTACCAATAAGCCAAACATTCATGATTTTGGTCAATGGGAGTAAACTGGAATACCTGGAGAAAACCCACGCATCCACAGAGAGAACATGCAAACTCAATCCATCTATCCATCATCTTTAACCACTTCTTCCTTTTTGGGTTGCGGGGGTCACTGGTGCCCATATCCAGCCATCACTGTGCAAGAGACAGCAGACACCCTGGACAGGTCTCCAGTCCATCTAAGGGCAACATAGAGACAAAGAACAATTGACTCTCTCACTCTCACCTAGGGACAATTTAGAGTTACCAGTTAGACTAGCATGCATGTTTTTGGTCTGTGGGAGGAAACTGGAGTACCCGGAGAAAACCCACACATGTACAGAGAGAATGTGCAAGCTCCACCCAGAAATTTCCCAGGCCCAGATTCGATCTAGCAACCTTCACTATTGAGAGGCAACAGCTCTACCAACTGTGCCACTGTTCATCCAGTGTTGTACCCCTGCCAGAAAAAGACACGCTTGTCTGTAGGTGCATCGACAAAAGTAGAACCATGGGCTGCCAGCATATGTGCCTGACTTTTGATCTTAGTATGTTCATGTGAGGCAGATACCAACTATTCAGTTGCTTAATCTCTAAGGTGCACTTTTTTTTTTAATGGTTATTTTTTTTTAGTCACTTGCTTAGCATTAAGAAGTTTTTACTGGAATCCCGTGACGCATTTTTCTTCTTTATATTTTACTCTTCAAAATGTTTTGGCTTACACTACTCCTCAGTACCCCAATATTCTCATTATGTACTGAACAAACGGTGCTGCTGTGATATTTATTTTCCACCATTGCTTGATATAGAATACAGACTGCTTGGGGGAGAAATGATAAAACCGTTGTGGCAGTGAGATACGCGGACATCTGTCAGGTGTGACTGCCTCCCAGGATGGCTAGCTCATTATCGTCTCATGAAACGAGGGGACGAGGCTACAAAACAGGGGAGTGCTAGCAAGACTGCATCTCATTTGCTTTCTTTGCTGAAGCTCAAAACATTGCCCACCCTCTGGCAGCTCTAGATAATTTGGAGCTACACTCTGTGTGGTTTAGTCAATAACTGAGTGAATAGCTTTTTTTTTTGGCCAGATATCCATCTGCTGCCGAGTTCATCTCTGCCTCTGCTTTATTCCCCTGTGTATGAATGCCAAAAGTTTAAATGAACTAAAAATGATTCTCTACTAAACACTAGGATTATGATAAAGACTGTTCTGTGATTTTTTTCCCCCTCTTCTTTGTTGACAGTGTTTAGATCTGAATAAGTTTGAGGCAGTCGAGACCGAAGGTCATCTGGTGAACAAAGCCCTGGAGCATCTAAACAATGATACATTTTGGGCTGGTGTTGTCTTTGAAAACCTCCAGTTAAACTCCAGCCATATCCCTCCTTATGTCAAGTACAAAATCCGGATGGACATTGATGAGGTTGAGCGTACCAACAAAGTGAAATCCAGGTATGGAATTCAACTTAGACTCTTTTTTTATTTATTTATTTATTTTTTATTACTCTGGGAGCTTTTCCTACCTCCTGAAAGTTTAGAAATTATAGAAAACACAAACATATCTTCTTATTTTGAAAAGGGTTAATCTTGGAAATTTCCACTTAACATAAAGACTGTTACGGTGTGACTTGCGATTTAAAAAAAAAAAAAAAAAGTCAGAAAAAAAACAAGTCGCACTTGATCCTTAAACATTTGCTTTCAAATTGCGGTTTTGGTCAGTGGTGTCCAGTCCTGATCCTCATGGCCCTCTGTTCTGCATGTTTGAGATGTTTTTTTTGCTTCATAACCCTTAATTAGAATGAATAGAAGATTTCAGCAGAACTTGAAGACATGCTGAGGAGGTACATAATTCAACCATTAAACCATTAAATCAGGTATGCTGAAGCAGGTAAACAACTAAAACATACAGGACTGTGCCCCTCAGGAACCAGAATTGAACAAGACAGCTTTAGACAAATGACCAAAACCCCAAATTTATAAACTCTGACCAGGATTGGATCCCACTAATGTAGACTTAGATTTAATTTGACTCTTATTTAACACATATTTGGACTACCCAAAGTCAAATGAACGATAAATCAGGGTTTCCTTTCATTTGTTGCAGTTCTGGTTTTCAACTAAAATCAGTGGCAGCAAGAATATTTTGTCTAGAAACCAAGAAGTAAAGGTACATTGCCTATGTCCATTTGTTTTAGGCAGGTTATGTTTTGTGCAATTAAAACATGGCTTTCTTTGGTATGCCAGTGTTGCAATGTCCTTGTTTGGACTCAGAATGTCTGCCATTGTAAAAAAAATATATATATATAAATAATAATATTTATTTGTGAGGACATTATCTATTTGAATGTTGTATTGCTTCTATACATAACCAGAGTAAGATGCGTATGATTGGTGCTATTCTCTGAAAGAAAGACAGACAAACTGTTCAACATTTGTGAAGCAACAATTAGGATTGTCCAATTAAAGTCTCACTAGCTGTGCATTTTTAAATTATTTTATTCAATTCTGATTTATGAAATTTATTTAAAAGAAAATTATAAAAATCGATCAAGCCAACTCCCAGTTCATCTCCTCTGCTACATCCCTTAGCCCTACCTTTACATTTTGCTCATTCATGCTAGAGGTAGGGGTGTCCCAAATCTATTTGTGATAGAAGTGAAGTAAGGCGAAAAGACGTTTGACTAATCATAGCAAGATTTTTTAAAGATACATGTCAAATAAAGGGATATGAGTTGTACTAGCAAAGAAACGCTTAAATAAAAATGTTGCCTCCTTAAAAATATTTTTATGTTCCAAAAACCTCTCTGTTGTCAATTGTGTTTTGTGCTGTATTATGCTTTGTATTTCTGTTTATTTTCTCTAATAATTTTTAAAGAAACGCTGTATGGCAGTAGCTATTGGAAGCTTGACATCTACTTATGTATTATATCGCCATAGTGGCATTATGTCCTTTAAGGGAAAAATAGTGGCAATTGATGTTGTATCATCTTTTTGTTAGTATCTTATTATGTTGTGGAACATTTTAACAATGTCTTGTTACTTCACATCATAAGACTAAAATGTAGGACCAGGAGGAAGACGTGTGGTTTGGCTTTAGAGTCACAGAAGACAAGTAACATCAATCTAAAATCTTTGCAAATCTTTCTCTCTACCAAATGAAATATATATTTTTTTCTTTTTAAGGTCAAGTGACTTTTAAATACTCTGGATGGATGTCTAACGATAAAGGTTGTGTCTTTTTAGCTCTTTGTTGTGACACATAACTGTCTGACTTCTTTAAAAAGGTCATGGTCTCCTGGAGCCAGAGACAATGCCTTTAATGACCTGCGCTACATATGGGGAGGCTTTGCCTATCTGCAGGACATGATGGACCACGCCGTTATACGCTTGAAAACTTCAAAGACTCAACCTCTTGGTGTTTTTGTTCAGCAAATCCCATACCCTTGCTTTGTGGATGACGTGTAAGTATTAAGACTTTTTTTCATTCTTTTTTCCTCAACTTAGACATGTAAAATGGAGGTATTACTGCTATATGTTTTGCCCACATGGGGGCCTTTCTACTCATTACTACCACATGGCTGAGTAATGATCTTATCAGTGACATAAGCTCTTTTAGATTTCCCTGTAGACACATGCTTCTCTTTATTTATCTAACATAGCCTTTCTTTAATATCTGTGGTGTTATGCTTGTGTCCTGTGTGCTTCCTGATCAAAGTTGAATTCCCTTGGTAATGTTTTTTTGTGTTTAAAGTAATTAATAAAAGATGACAACTTTGACAGTTTAATCACGACTCGAGGGTCAGAGAGGGAGTTGGAATGGACGAAGGCAGGGAGAGACTGAGAGCGAGTCAAAAATATTGATTTTAGCCAAACCACGGGAAGTTTGCCAGTAGTTGGTATCTTTTTAATTATTTAGGGAACTACTTTGAGTTTGTTCCTTTCTCCTTTTTCATTCTCACCAAAGTGAGCTTTATTCTAGTCCATTACAAGCAAGGCTTTCTCTTTTTGTTGCTTTTAGGCATACTGATAAATTGGCTTCCTATATTGTAAATAATTTTACTGGGGACTAAAGATGGGCAAGATTATTTAAATAATCAATAAGTTGTTGAGGAATCCATTCATCCAGTTATTTTCTTCTGTTCATCTGTGGTCTTAGTTGTGGGGGCAACAATCCAGGAGGGAAACGCCAAACCTCCCTCTTTCTATCAACACTATACCGAGCTCCTCCTGTGGGAACCTGAGGTGTTCTCAGAACACACTGCCAATGAGTTCTGGGTCTAACCCAGTGTCTCCTCTCAGTGGGATGTACCTAGAAAACCTCCAGAGGAAGGCGACAAAGAGGATCCTAATCAGTTGCCCTAGGCACCTCAGCTGACTCCTTTCAAAGTGGAGGGGCAGCAGTTCTACTCTGAGCTCCTCCCAGCTGACTGAGCTCCTCACTTTATCTCAATTGAAAGTTTTGCCTTTTGGTTCAGCTCATTACTCACCATGATGAACCAAAACAACATTCTCATCACAAATGATGCTTTGATCCATTGATCCATCTCCCATTCTACCATCACTTGTTAACAAGGTTTCCAGATACTTCAACTCCTTCGCTTGAGGCAGAAACTCATCCCTTAATGAAAGGGTGTAGTCTATTAGAGCATGGATTGATGCGGGCCCCGAGCTAATGCAGCTAGCTCATGCTAGCTGTGGGCCTCAGGCCTCCTCTCGGACCCCAGGTCTGCCTCCAGCTTACGCTGCCCCTGGCTCTGACCTCCCTCAGAAGTGGAAAACGTGAATTAAGTTTTATCAACTGTATTAAATCAAGGCAGGAGAAGGTTACAGTTTACAGTGCTGACCTCCGATACAATTTGACGCGAGATCAGGAACTGGAAGGGGCGGATGTCCCCTGACATTACAGATTTATAGAGTCTAGACTCCTCCTTCACAGGAGAGCACAGCCTATCACGTGGATAAGGGGGCCGGGCTAAGTGTGGTCTCCTTGGACCTTACACGATTTAAAAACCCAGGGTCAGTCTAGATAACAAATACTAACAAGTCCTTGTTTTTAGGCTCAGAACAAGGGCCTTGAACCACAAATGTCTGACTTTTATCTTAGCAGTGAAAGCAACGGTCATTTTGAAACGAAATATCTCTGAACTAGTGAACTGCTAACTCTATCACAAGGTGGTGGTAATATACCAAATTTTTTCCCGAATCTTGTGGCGCTTTTCACAGAATTATTTTTTGAGCAAAAGAAACAAAACAAAAACCTTAGAGTGGTCAATGTTGGAGCTACACCAATACTGAAGGATCACGTACAATTACCTCAACACCAGTAGAAGTATTTACAAATAACAGAAATGGCTACGCATCAATGTGTCCAGAGGACCAGACTTAACTTTTTTGGATTTTTCTACCTGGATTATTGAGCATGCATCAGGGCATCTATGTGGTGTGCAATATTTGGTTCTTTAGAGTGTTTCCAGTGAAAGGACTTGTGGTGAACAGCCAATGATTCAGAGAAGGTTTTATTTCCACTGTGTTGACATTAAATAAAATAGTTGCTTGGATAAAGGAACGTTGGAGGAAACGCTTTAAGGCCAATGAACAAATGAATGTGAACATCAATTGTATAGGTACAGACTGTTGTTTAAAGGCACTTTAAAAACGTACTCTACACTGAACCATGTTTTACTTGGTGACACAAGGAACAAGACGTTAGTGACCTTCTTTTTTTACTCCATTTACTGATTTGGAGTTGTTGGTTTGCTATTAACTATCCTCCATAATTTATTTATTTTGTGCCTGTTTTTGTATTTTCATCATCATTTCAACAATTACCGAACCCTATCATCAAATACATCCAAAGGTTTGGAGACCAAACTCCAATAAATAACTTTTGTGTGTGTTTTAATAATTGATCAGTTATTACATCATTTCAACATTGGACACGTAGCTCAGTTTCACTACCGTGTCCCTCCCCCAACCTAAACTAAAATGTTAGTAAGTTTCCAAACTGAATAAAACCTTAAAACACCCCCACTGCCTTCACCGTTTGCCCTTTTTGCCAACTGAGACATCTGGACATTTCCATGAATTATTAACACTTGAAAACTGTATTTTCTTTTATAAATTATTGAGAGTGACATCACAAAATGGGAATATCCTCTAAAACACTGAAGGCTGTGATGTGGAAAAACTCCCAGTGTTTGTTTCTTTCATCCTGAGATGTTTCACCAGATTAAAATGAGTGAAAGGGCTTGAAGAGGTTTGTCGTCAGTTGTTGTTTTTACTCTTTCTAAAAAAAAAAAGAAAAAAGATTTTAAGACTTCTTTTTTAAACAGCCAAACTTTTTCACACTCTACAAATTTTAACATTTTCAAACTTCCAACATGTTGCATAGATGAATCTTTCAGCAAATAAAGTCCAAGCTCTTTTTATACAAATGAGAATTAAATTGCAGAGGATATTGATTTACTTCATATTTATCGGTAATTATTTTCTACAAGGCCAAACTTTTTTTTTCATGGAATACATATTGCCTGCAACCTTTTTTGCCAATAACAACAATCTCTTGCAATTTGTTTGTGCAGAGAGGATAAGTTTGACTCTCAGTTACTACCACACCAAATTTGAGCTCATCTGTGTTTCTGACAGTGGCTTTGTGTTGTTCAAGTCAAAATACTGTTGCAACTACCTTGAATTTAGTGGGAAAAAAAATTGGTTGTAGATGTGTTTCTGATTGATTGCTCTCTCTAAAGTCTTTCCAGCAGTTCATGAAATAGTTTTCTAACAGACACACACAAGAATATGGGTAATTACATTATCACCCTTTCCTTAGAAGTGGCAAGTTATAACTACACAGTATGAACACATTTCAACCGTGTCTGAAGGCAGCTACAATATTAGTTCATTCAAGACTCATTACTGCAGGTCTATAATATATTTCTGTTTGGGCAGCACAGAGCACCTGCCTTGTACTTCAGGCAGGCGCAGAGGTTATCCACATCTTAAGAGATGTCTCATCCTCTGCACTGCAAGTTCAGGCTCCTCCCATCGGGACGCAGATTGATTCCCAGATGTAAAACTAAGTGTTCAACAAACGTTCAATACATCATGTCTTGGATGATTGAGAATCTTCACCAGCAAAACTGTGTTATAAAACTTATCATAGCATAGCACCGAGCCATTTTTAAAATAATTTTTGAATCACGTTATATTTATTTTTTATACTTATTGTGCGTCTATGTCAAGTTTCCTGTCTAGCAAGAAAACTGACTTACCTCACTGTAACCAAATCTACATGGGGGTATGAATAAAGTTGATTGATTGATTGATTTGATTGAGGCTTAGAGGTCAACAATGTTGCCTTACAGCAATTCCTGGGTTCAATCCCCGGATTGAACCATGAGTTTTTCTCAGTGGAAAGACCTTGCCTGTACTCCTTGTGTCTGCGTGAATTTTTTCAGGGTACTCTGAATTCCTCCCACAGTCTAAAAAATGTCATGTTAGGCTGATTGCAAAAACACTCAGTGATCTCATTGGGGTTTTTCTGGTTAAATAAAGGTAAATAAATAACGCTTCCTTGATCATTGTTTGCGCCAATTCATTTTTAAATCTATAATTGGCTTCCACAAAAGAACTATTTAAAATGTATTGCTTATATAAACTTAGGGTCCAGAAAAGTTTTAAATAAATGTTCATGCCATTTGTTGCAGCTCTCCACTTGTTGCAGTGTCGAAAGAGCTACATTTGAAAAATGACACAACACACTTTGGACGCCTTTTATTACTCCAGAGGGTCACAGTGGCCTCTAGAACTAGAGAATGGAAACACATTTGGACCAACAGGATGAAGCACAAAAGCAATTCTTTGGTCCAGCAGAGTCACTGAGGTCAGTACAGTCCATGCATGGGCCACCCTAACAGATCCTCAAATGTCCATTGCAGAGCCGGTAGACCAGCCAGAATTACAACCATCTCTGCTGCATCCCATCAATCAAACCTTAATGGCAGAGAGGATGAATGGAAGCCACTCTTGAGTTAAAGCCATTTGACAGCTGCAGTTGAGTTTGCAGACATTTAAAAGACTGAGAGCTTGAAGGAAAAGGACAATCTGGTCTGTCGGGACAAAAGTTGAACTCTTGCAGGGGAACTGTGTCAGACAAACACAGGCACTGTTCATCGTATAGCCCAAGGCGTGGAGCAGCACTGTCACTCTGTCAGTGGGTTCTGGTGAGGTGGTTCTCCACTTCGTGCACAGTTAGATTGGTCCGAAGTGGGAGAACAATGAGTAATGGCAAATACAGAAGAGCATCAAGATAAGTCTATGTCAGCTGTGACCTGTGTGGAGGATGACCTTTGAGTCAGATTGATTTTTATTTCAAGTTAGAAGAGCTGAAGCCTGAAGAGTGGAAAGCAGGTGACTTTCCAAACACTAAAAGTCTGCACTGAGACTTTGTGGTAACAATACA